GATTGCCCAACCTTCCTTCCGAGGAGTGGCTGGTGGGTTAGGAAAAAAAAAAAAATGCTGGACAGGAAATTACCAGTTTCTGCTTCAGCAGTGGTCAAAGAGAATATTTTATTCAAGTTTACTGGGAAATAATAATCCTTACCAAAACAGGAATCATGTCTTAGGATCAGATGATTATTTTCCAGACTTGGAAGGCAAAACTCTATATAGCTTCAAGTACTTGAAAAGATATAAGTGGGAGAGAATAGGATGAAAACATGGGCCAGATTGTACTAGAAAACATCAAGTCTTGGATTTTAATGCTAGTAGTTCTCTTAAGAATTGGGGAAAGGATCTAGCATACTGAGGAGGAGGATAAACTTTTGTTCAAAATCTACACTGCAAAAGAAATGTTTTCCTTTCATATAAAAGTCTAGATGGAGACTCAGTCTCTGCTGCTCAGTTTCCTCTTATGTAAAATTAAGGTAATTTTTTTCTATGTTATAAGAGATTTTTATCATAAATGGATAAGCACAATGCTGAATACTAGAAGAAATATAGATTCAATGAAGAAGGCAAAGTGGAAATCACACGATGTCAGACCACCCTCCTGTCTCTGAGGACACTGTTCCCACTGCTCTATGTATTTTTATGTTGTTTATTCCACTGTTGATTCATTAGTAACTTCTAAACTGGGTCACCAAGGACTACTTTGTTGTTCATTCAGATGTTCCCTATGCCCTGGCAGCAAACTGAACATATAAAAGAAGTGCTGCTCTTATAATATTTGCAGGTTAACCTGCCTTCCTGCCCAGGATCCTTTTGAACTAAGAACATACTGGAAAATCTAGGCTTTGGTGCCATTTTAGACTTGGCAAGAGAACAGGAGGCTGACACTGTCCTCAGTATATCAGCAACAATGAAAATGTAGGTGAATACTGTCTACTGCAAGACTTGCCTGTGAGGGTGTGTGTGTGTGTGTGTGCGTTGGTCCCTGGGAAACCTGCTCCTACTTAACTGGCCCCAGGTCACACTAGCTGCAGTGCTATCTCAGGCTACCTGAAGCTTCCAGCTCCTCCACAAATGCTGCACTCCCTTCTACCAGGAGGCAACTGCGAGCTGGGAGAAGGACTTGGGGGTGGGCAGAGATCTCTCTGAAGAGCCATGCAAAATTCTTTTAAACAGGCTGTGAGTTTGAATCCTTACCACTTACTTGAACTAACACCAGCACAGCTGTTTCACTTTAAAATAATAACAATAGTAATAATAAAAGCCTTTCCTTTTATTATACTTGTGTGTGCACGTCTGGATGTGGTGTAACCGCTGCTTGGGGAGAGAATGAGGCTAGGGCTTGAGATAGGTGGAACCTGAGGTGGGGACAGATGCACACACAGACCTCCTCACCAGCATAATGCTTTTCAAGCTGTGGTTCCATCAAGGGTCTTTGATGAAGCACAGTCATAAAAGTAAGTAAACAACTGTTATGACATAATTTTCCATGTTCTCTAAACACAGAGGCTGAGCACAGTCCATTTTAAAATTTGGAATTCAGTTAATGACGATTGATATTGCAGAAAGGGAGTCAACAATTATTTCTGATATACTATTATTCTGAATGAATATGGAATTCAAACGTTCCTGTCATGATCATTTTATCCTTTGACAGGACCAGCTGTATCAGGTGAGGAGATTGATACCACTTAAGAGATGAAAATAGGAAGGGTAATGGAAGAGACACCTCCTCCCAGTAATATCCTCCCGTTTCTGAGAAATAAAATAACGCGACGATTAGAAATTACCTTACAGATTACCTGACCTTATTATCTATGTTGTTTAAATCATTTTGCCACTTGTTAGAAGGTAGACACTTGCCTGCTAACCAGACGGCTGGCGGTTCAAACCCACCAGCCACTGCTCGGAAGGAAGGTTGGGCAATTCTACTTCCGTAGTGATACTGCCTCGGAAACCCAAGGAGGGGTCGCTATGAGTCGGGGCCGACTCCACGGCACATAACAACAACAACAGAAGGTAGAAGAGAAGGGGACCTTCAGGCACTAATTAAACCTGAAGTATCTCAGTCCAGGGGAAGCCTTTGTCCTCAATGAAGAATGAATGAGGTTTGATCCAAACATAAGTAAGAGTAAAGTGTCTGAGATACATAAAAGAATTTATTAAATAGGAAATCTATGAAGAAAAACTGACCCTCAATCACTCCAGTGTTTCCTAAAGTGATGGTAGTTTTGCATTGGTTAAGTCATCAGGTATTACCCATTTACATTAATTGAAAACACTACTTACAGGAGAAAAGTAGTAACAATTATTTCATGAAATTGTTAAAATGGATTCAAACTAAAAAATAAATACATAAATAATTCTTAGGCTCCCAGGGGAACTTACCCAACATAAGAAAGAGCTGTATCCTTGCTGGTGGAAAAAAAGCCCACAGGAGTAGTCTGACAAGAATCTGACACCACAGGCTTAGCTGCATTATTGTGAGTAGTGTTAATTTAATAAGCTTCAGGAATTAAAACAAAATGCCCATAAAGGTTACTATGTTACTAATTTAGGTATTTAATACATTAAATTAATGAGGATTCAAAAACTAATGTGAATGAGTTCACAAGTGTTCTCTGTTATAGTAAATGGATAAGAGTTTTGGTAAGGACAAGCAGATAATCATTTTTTGAGCCCAGTAACCTCCTAGGAAGGAGAAAGCTGGAGTGAGAATGCCAATGGCCAGTACAAAGATAGAAGATGGCCTAAATGGAAAAAATGCAGGCAAGATGCAGGCAGGCAGGCATAAAGGAAGGAAGGGAAGGAGGGAGGGGGGGATGGAGACAGAGAGGCAGGGAGGCGGGAAGGGAGGAAGAAGAATTTACTGGCCAGAAATGAGCCTGACCTATTACTCAGTTTGACCTATCAGAGTCTTCTCCTGGCAAGTACTTGGCAAGATACCACCACACCAGTAAATCATATCTTGTATGAGCTAAGGTGGGTTTCCTTGTCTATAATCATGTCCGTGAACACTGAACAATGCACCTTGCTAACTCAACTTATGGTAACAACTGACATTGCCAGTTGTTGTTGTTGTTGTTATGTGCCATCGGGTCGGCCCCAACTTATAGCAACCCCTCCTTGGGTTACCGAGGCAGTATTACTAAGGAAGTAGATTGCCCAACTTTCCTTCCAAGGAGTGGCTGGTGGGTTTGAACCTCCAGCCTTCTGGTTAGCAGTCAAATGCCTTAGGCACTATGCTACCAGCCAGTAAGTAGATAGAAAAAAGCCTAGAGAAACTGACTGAAGATAGTAAAATATGAACAGTTACCAGTATAACTAAGAGTCATTGTCAAGGAAAAAGCATGGAGTACTTATTGCCCAAATCCAAAGTTGCGTTTTCACTATTATCTCATCTTACTATGTCACTAAACATGCACTAAAATTAAATATTATCCCCACTGGAAGCTTGAAAACTTATTGAAAGAGCAACTTGTTTGTGCTTGGATCTACAGTCTCTGATATTATGTTCTGTAAATCTTAAGTGCTCATTAAATACTTGTCTGAAGAAATGAGTGTGGATTACTTACTTGATCAAAAAAAGAGAAATAAGGTAAACAAATTCATTTTTTATTCTCAACTAAGAATACACACATTGGGTAGAATTGGGTAGTAGGATTTCTCTATAAATGTGATATGCCTAAAACTGCTCATTTAACAATCACTTCCCACTGACCTATCACAAAGACATATTATGAGCCAATATATTAAGTTATTTTTAACTAATGGCATCCCCAATGAACATACATTTACCAGATCTTCTTTTACAGGATGTTTATTTGGGAGCAGCTGTTCACAATGTGAATTTCACTGAAGGCAAGTTTTGAAAACAAGGAGACCGGATCTTCCTGAACCCTCCTCTCCCCTAACTAATGAGATTCCTGAGAAAACATAAAATAGTAGAGTATAGGGAGGTAGAAATTGGTGGGACGCACTGATAAAGAATGGTAAATTCCAGGGAAAAAGTGGATTTTTTAAAATTTGTTTACAAAACTCAGTTCATAGGGGCAGTGTGCTCCAGGATGTTGCTTGAGTAAGTTACATGTATTAAGAACTTAGAGAAAGTACGCAGCACAGATAGAGGACTGGCTGGTAAGCTAATGGGGAGAGATGACTTGAGGAGCATCAGAATTTGTTGAAAAGGGAGGTCACTAAGATGTGTCTGAAACAGATTCTGAAGGCTTGGTGCTGCTGAGAAGAGCACCCAAGTCAATCAGGCTGACAGAAAGCTCTGTTATGGCCCAAAATGCTATGGCAACACTAATCAGATTTATTTTCAGACCCCAGTAAAATTTTCAAAACACTACTGCAAGAAACATTCTATCTCACCGGATTCCATCATTAGCTTAGAAATGTTTTCATTTACTTGATACAGGAAAGGCAAAACAAAGACACACCTTCATATCTTAAACTTTTTCTCTTCTTATTTAGAGATAATTTTAAGTGCAAAGAGCTGACTTAACCTTTTTAAATGAATGTACTGCTTTAGGAATTAATCATGACAACATAAAATACTATTTAACATGCTTTGCTTGGAAAATGGAACAATGAAGTGGTGAAAAGTAAAAAAAAAAAAAAAAAAAAAGAGGAGAATGGGAGGGGAAAAACTTTTAAAATGTCAGTATTTTCTCAGGATAAGAACAAATAAAATCTACCACAAGACAATTTTGTTGAAAACCAGCATACAAGACATATGATTCATGTTTTGTTTTGAGTTCTTTTTTGACATCTTTATAAATGTGGTTTTTATCAGAGATGTGTAAGTATAAGATTCATATTTAAATATTTTCAAAATAAGCCTCCTAATAAAAGGTCAAAGTTTCCACTATATTAACAAATTGATTTCCAAGTAAAAATAGCAAATGCATGTCAGGTGGCTTGTTTGTATCTTTCGTTCAGATTTCACACTAGCTTCTTATAGCACTTCTTTCTTCAGGTCCAATTGTTCTTGACTTGGCAAGATAGTGATGAGAAATCATACTGCAATAACAACATTCATACTTCTGGGATTGACTGATGACCCAAAGCTACAAGTTCTGCTTTTCATATTTTTGTTTCTCACTTACATGTTGAGTGTTACTGGGAACCTAACAATTATCAGCCTGACACTTTTGGATTCCCATCTTAAAACTCCTATGTACTTTTTCCTCCGAAATTTCTCTGTCTTAGAAGTGTCATTCACCACTGTCTGTATTCCCAGATTCCTGTACACTATGACGACTGGAGATAATACTGTTACCTATAATGCCTGTGCCACCCAGTTGTTTTTCGTTGTCCTCTTTGGAGCAACTGAATTTTTTCTGCTGGCAGCCATGTCCTATGATCGCTATGTAGCCATCTGCAAACCCCTGCATTACACGACCATCATGAACAATAGGGTCTGCACTACACTTGTTCTCTGTTGTTGGGTTGCTGGCCTGTTGATCATACTCCCACCTCTTGGTGTGGGTCTCCAGCTAGAATTCTGTGACTCAAATGTGATTGACCATTTTGGCTGTGATGCATCTCCTATTTTGCAGATAACCTGCTCAGACACAATATTTATAGAGAGAATTGTTTTGAGTTTTGCAGTGCTGACCCTCATTATTACCCTGGTATGTGTAGTCCTCTCCTACACGTACATCATTAAGACCATTCTAAAATTCCCTTCTGCCCAACAAAGGAAAAAGGCTTTTTCCACCTGTTCTTCCCACATGATTGTCGTCTCCATCACCTACGGCAGCTGCATCTTCATCTACATCAAACCTTCAGCCAAGGAAGGAGTGGCCATTAATAAGGTGGTGTCGGTGCTCACTACTTCAGTTGCCCCTTTACTCAATCCATTCATTTATACGCTTCGAAATAAGCAAGTGAAACAAGCTTTCAAAGACACCTTAAAAAGGATTGCATTTCTCACTAAGAAGTAAGAGACTATTGATGCTTTGAGGCTAAATTAAGTAAATCTGAATAACTCATGAGCTGTTGTAGTTGTTGTTGTTAAGTGCCGTCGAGTCATTTCCGACTCATAGCGACCCCATGCACAGCAGAACGAAACACTGCCCGATCCCGCGCTAGCCCCACAATCCCTGCTATACTTGAGCTCATCATCGCAGCCACCGTATCAATCCATCTCGTTGAAGGCCTCCCCCT